TTATCAAGTTCTCCTGACAACTCACTCCTCCTTCAATTGGCTTAAATTAAGAACTGGGTTCATTACACCTGCTTGAAGACAGCTCCATTAGAAACAGTCCACAGCCAGCCCTCAGAGTCCTCCGGTGAGCCCTCCTGGACTTTTAAGTATTTGTTTAAAAGGCAGTCCAATGAGCAAAATGATCAATTGGCTTAAGATGTTTTCCCCAGGGAAGTGTAATTGGAAATGAAACTGAAATTCTCAAATTATTGCAAATAAGAGAACAAATAACTTGAATTTCCATCCACACTAATGGCAAGAGACCAATTTGTTGTTAAGTGCTGTTGAGTCAGCTCCGACTCATAGTGACTCTATATAGGGTTTCCTAGGAGCAGCTGGTGAATTTGAACCACCGATGTTGCAGTTTGACCTGACCTTAGGGTCTAGCGCATTATCCTGTAGTACCACACGAGGACTCCATTTGTTTTTGTTAATGGCTGTAGAGTTGGTTCCCACTCATAATGACCCTGGATGGGGTTTCCAAGGAGTGACTGGTGAGCTTGAACTACTGACCTTGCGGTTCAAAACGACTTTGCACATTAACACGCAGCGCCACATCTGGACTCCAATAAGAGCCACTGTATCCAACAAGTTATTGCTGACTTTCATCAGTTTCCCTCACAAATCCCAATCTGTGCCCCAAATCAGCAGGAAGAAGCCAAGTGAGAACATCGCCTCAGTTCCCAAAAATGGAAAACTAACAAAAAACAGGAGGGAGTTGAAATCATAACTGGCTAAAGCAACTTCATCTTGCAAGTCACGAGAGTTATCTACACTTCCTATAGAAGGATCCGTAGTTAACCCCCACATCTGAGGGCTATTACAGAAATGTTCCTCAGATCCCTCTCATGCACAAGACCCATGTAAATCCTTCTTGCCCTTTTTCCTTGGGAAAGCATTCTTTGGAGGAAATGCACAGTCCCTGTGCCTCTTGTATATTGTTATAGTTAAGTGGCATGGTGGAGTCATTTCCGACTATAATTACTGTGTAGTGTTTCCAAAGAGGGGCTAGTGGGCTTGAACTGTCGGCCTTGTGGTTAGCAGTGCAGTACTTATCCTATAGTGCCACACCAGTGTATATACACACACTGTATATTGTTGATGTTAAGTGCCGTCGAGTCCGTTCTGACTCACAGCAACCCTGTACAGGGTTTTCAAGGACCTGCTGGTGGATTTGATCTGCCAACCACGTACGTAGTTAGCTGTTCAGTGGTGATCAGTTGTAGTGCTACACCAGGACTACTCCTGTATGTCGGTATACATGAAACCTGGCTGGCTTCACTGCACTCGTCTCAGAGTAACTGACTGCTTTGCTGCAGGTAACCCTGAGCCACCATTTTGCAACAACATGCCTTTGTTGTTGTTGTTAAGTGCCATCGAGTTGGTTCCGAACAACATGCCTAGTTTAAAAATATTTTTATATGCAAAAAAAGTCTGATTCCACACCACTAATGGTGGTGTCTGATTGTTGGATGTACAGTTTTGTACAGTTGTAATTTTTACAACTGGCAGTGGTGATGGTGCACTGTGGAGTCGGTTCTAACTCATAGCAACCCTGTATAGAATTTCTGAGATTGTAAATCTTTACAGGAGCAGAAAACCTTATTTTTCTCCCATGAACAGATGGTAGTTTTGAACTGCTGACCTTGAGGTTAGCAGCCCAATTTGTAACCACTACCCTATCAGGGCTCCTTAATTTTTACAACTAGTAGGTATATTATGGAGTCCTGGTGTGGCGGTGTGGGTTAACGCGCTGGATTGCAAGGTTACTTTGAACTGCAAGGTCAGTGTTCAAGTTTACCAGCTGCTCCTCAGAAACCCTATACAGGGTTGCTATGGGTCAGAACCAACTCAACAGCACTTAACAACAACAAACGTATTTTATAATCAGGAAAAATGTCATGAATAAGGAACATAAAGCTTTATTTAATAAATATAACACAATTCTCAACTTTATAGGTAATCACTAGGAGAAATTTTCTAAAGATTAGAAGGAAATGTTTGAAGAAAGTGAGAGGAAGAAGAAAAAAGGAAGAAGGCCAGGGAAATGGGGTGTCAATGAGAAAATCAAAATCACTACTTTTGGTTACCATCATTGCCAGGAGTAACCCTGGTGGCAAAGTGGTTAAGTGTTCAGATGCTAACCAAAAGGTTTTAACTGCTGACCTTGAAGTTAGCAGTCCAGTGCATAGTCTACGACGCCACTAGGGCTCCTTTAGAGCACATTTGTTGCTGTTGTGTGCCAAATTGGCTCCCATGCATAGCGACCCTGTATTGGGTTTCTGAGAGTGGCTGGTGGGTTTGAACCGCTGAACTTGTGGTTCAAGCTGACCTAGAAGTCCAGTGCTTATCCTACAGCATCACACCAGGACTCCTATAGCAAGCAATAGGAGAAGCTAAGTAGATATTTGCAGAATGAATCAGGATTCAAGAAATTTGGAAATCCTCTCTAAAGTATAACGTCTACTTTTTTAACTTTTTTCCTATGATCAGTGGGGTTGGGTTTTTGTTTGTTTCCCTAAAACAAAAAAAGTGTTTGGCTAGAGAATCCTAAGATGTGGGAATAATTTAGCTTTCTAGATAGATTGTCCAAACCGTTAAACTAGGTCCTTTTAAAAAAGAAAACTGAAAGATTGGGTTGCTCTGTTCTGAAGCTTTCAATTGACATTTGAAAAGAGCATTTTCATCAAGGTTTACATTCCCAAATCCAGGAGGAAACACTGGAAGGGTCATAGCTGACCACATGGTGAGAATGAAAAGGCCAGCAAGTCAATTGAAAAGCAGGTTTCGGGGGGACCTGGGGGTTTGCACTTTGCTCTGGCTTAGGTGTAGGAGAGCTGAGGATAAACCCACAGGGGTTTGGGGCCACAGGTAAAGTCTGTGGCATTGGCATGTGGCTAAACCACCCTTCCTCCAGGCACTGGAAGGCTGGCTGAGCAATTCCCGACCCCATAAGGTCCTAAAATAGGTGTCAGTACTATAAGAATATTCAGCAGTGTGGAGGACCTTTTGGGACACACAGATAGCAAGATTGTCTTGAGCCTGACTCCTCTTGGGCCATCCCTGGCCCTGCAGTGTTAGCAGAAACCAGATGACAGGGTATGAGGCCTGGAAAATCCTCCTGGGCAGGTGGGCCTTAAGGCCGAGCGGCAACAACACTGAATCCAGCCAGAAAGCTTGTTTCTCCGTTCTTTATTAAAGCTGAGCCTTCCTGCCCATAGTGGCAGAAGAGAAGCAGCAGGGCCTACAAGAGGCACTGAGGGCATGCACTCAGGGTGTGCCAAGTCTGCAAGAGCAGGGCCAGACCCTGTCCCTGATCCACCCAGTCTGCTCTCCTCTTGACCCTTTCTGAGGCTTCTGTCCCACTTGGAGAGTTGAGAAACTGGTGTTAAGAACGGAGCTGGGAATGCCCGTGGGGCAGAGAGGGCTTCCTCCACCACCAACACTATCTCCCAGGCCCCTGACGCTCCTCACCACCCACCCATACTGCATCTCACCCAGCACAACTAACCCTTACCACCACCACCCAGGCCCGCTCCCACCCACCACTACTGAGCCTCCTACCCGCCCCCAGCCCCTGCAGCCTGGCTGTTGGCTCTCAGCCCCCGAGGTCCTGTCTACACTAAAATGGAAGGAACTAGGTCTACAAGGGAATATAGTTGCTTCCGCTCTGTGCCTGACCCTGCAAAAAGCCTAAAGTGAGTGGGAGAGGGGTCTCATGGGACCTCACCTCAGCTGCCTGCCAGTGACTCCCAGAAGGTGGGGTGCCTTGCATAGTTGGAGGCTCCATTTGGTTACTGTGTGTGGGCTCAGACCACACCAGTAGGTATGTCCTGCCCGCGGCTCCATCATCCACTCTGTAAACTGGGTCTCTAAACAGAAACACGGTATGACAAAAACTGAGTGAAAGAGACCTGTAAATGTTGTGGGCCTCTAACTATGGGACATGGGGAAAATCCTGTGACCATCATCAGTTGTTTAACTACAGTGTAGGGGCACAGAAGGCAGCACCGCACAGAACCACCTGCTTCCTGAGAGTCTCAGGGCAAGCATGCTAGTCCCTGATGGTCAGAGGGCCAAAGCACCCAGGAAGCTCAGATTACAATCGAGCCAGTGTAACCAGCAATTTGCTGGTCCCAGGGTTGAGGCAGGGCGAAGGGTGTGGGGACTCCAGATAGTAAAGTCCTTATCAAACTCGTTTGGGGCCATTGACACGAGCAAACCATCCACGGAGGGGGAAGGGAGCGCACCAATTTGATTTCTGGCTTTTTTTTTTTCTCCTCCTGCCAGATTTTTAGGCCAAGCAGAGTTGTAAAGAAATATTCCCAATAGGCTTTTTTTTTTTGCCAACCAAAGCTTTCATAACCCGTTTCTTTTGAGGACCTGCCAGGCTTTGATTAGCTCCATGAACAGCTTTGAACACTTCCAGAAACTCAAACCCTCAGATTCCCTGCCTCTGAGCTGATTCCGACTCATAAGACTCCATACAGTTTGCAGATCTTCACGGGAGCAGACAGTAAACACTTCCTGAGCAGCACCAAATGATTAGAGGGTCCCTAAAACCACCCATGGAGGAATGAGAGGTAGTCATCAGCCAGATCCACCGGTGACCTAGATGTCAGCTCTGCCCTCGACTAGCCCACCTTCCTGTCCACGTAAAGGTTCCCCTTCCTCGCTGTAAAACTCCTAAGCCATCTGTCCTCCCACGTCCGATAGGGTCAAATACCACCGCCCGCCATGCCCGCTACTTGGCCTCAGCACAGCCCCAGGGAGGCCGCCCCCCACTACCCTTCCCTCTCACGCCCATGGCGTTTCGAGGAGCCCCCTCGCCGCCAAGCCACATCAAGCGCCCCAGCCCTTCTGCAGGAGCGGACCCGGAGTGCAGCCCGAGGCCGTGGGGAGGGGGCCGAGGGGAAAGCACCACACCTGGGACTGGGACACTCATTGGCCTCCAGACCCTCTCACAGGCTGGTCTCCTCGTAGGTGCTGGAGGGCCCCGGGAATGTGGCTGGTGGTGGCTCGGAGCCGAAGCTCGTCCCACCCGCGAACTCCCGTAGGGCGCTCCCACGCTCCCCGGGACCAGTGCTCGACCCCACAGTCCCGGTTCCAGGGCCCTTGGTGCGTGCCTCGGTCTTGGGGGCTGCCGCCTGGGCGGGAGTGCCGGTCATGCCACGGTGTGTCTTCATGTGCGTTAGTAGGTGCGAGCTCTGTGAGAAACGGCGGCCGCAATGCCCGCAAGCGTAGGGCCGCTCACCGGTGTGTGTGCGCTGGTGCGTGACCAGCACCGAGCGCTGTGAAAAGCGCTTGCCGCACTCTGGGCACGGGAAGGGCCGTTCGCCCGTGTGACCGCGGCGGTGTTTGGCAAGGTTGGAGCGCTGTGCGAAGCCGCGGCCACAGTCCGCGCAGCGGAAGGGTTTCTCGCCCGTGTGCGTGCGCCGATGCCGTTTGAAGTCTGAGCTGTGGCCGAAGCCCTTGCCGCAGTCGGGACAGCGGTGTGGCTTCTCCTCTGCGTGCGCCCACTGGTGCCGAGTCAGCGCCGCGCTCTGCCCGAATCGCCGACCGCACTCGCCGCAGGCATAGGGTCGTTCGCCCGTGTGCGCACGCCCGTGCGCCGTCAGGTGGGCGCGGCGGCTGAAGCCTGCACCGCACACGCCGCACACGAAAGGCTTCTCGCCCGTGTGACCACGCACGTGCGCCGCCAGATGCGAGCCACGGGCGAAGCGCGCACCACACTCTGGGCACGGGAAGGGCCGCTCTCCCGTGTGTGTACGCCGATGGCGTGCCAGGTGTGAACCGTAGACGAAGCTCTTGCCACAGTCGGCGCAGCGATGTGGTCGCTCTCCCGCGTGGTAGCGTTGGTGCTTGGCTAGCGCCGCGCGGCGCCCAAATGTCTTGCCACAGTCAGAACAGATCCATGGGCTCTCCTCCTCTGGCAGTGCTGCCGGTGCCGGCTCGGCCAGGAGTCCCCCGACTGCAGGCCCGAAGGCTCGCAGCCCGCCTCCGCTGCCGCTCCCTGGGCCACCGCCCCCCCTGAAGGGATCAGAGGCCAGTCCTACACCCTCCACCAGTGAGAGTGGGCCACCCAGGGATCCTGGCAGGGCATGCGCATCGGCTGGCAGCCGATCCCTTAAGTCTGGGAGACCCAGCATGGGAAAACCATCGGGGTGCAGCCAGGACTTGGGGTGCATTGGGAAGGGGAAGCCAAGCGGGTGAGAAGATGGGCCCTCTCCCTCTCCCAGGCCGTTCCCCAGCTCCAGGCTCTGTCGCATTGGCTCTGTGGCCTCCTTGCGCTCCAGACTGCCTGTTGCTTCTGGTGCCTCATCATCCCCGTCCCCGTCGGCCTCACCCACATCAGGTTCAAGTTCAGGCTCAGGTTCAGGTTCAAGTTCAGGCTCAGGTTCAGGCTCAGGTTCAGGTTCAGGCTCGGGCTCCGCCTCGGCCTCCTCTGGTCCTGCTGTCTCGCAGGGGTCCTCCCGTCGCCCATTGGTCCCGGACTCAGTGCAAGCACCGCCGCGCCGGTGGCGCTGGAAGTCGGCGCGGAGACGAAAGGTCTGGCCACAGTCCGGACAGCAATGCGGCCGGTCGGTGGTGTGCACGGCTTGGTGGCGTGCCAGCGCTGAGCTCTGGCTAAAGCTACGGCCACAGTGCGGGCACGGGTAGGGCCGTTCACCCGTGTGCGTCCGCTGATGCGTAACCAGGTAGGAGCGGCGGCCAAAGCCCGCGCCGCAAAATGTGCAGCGGTAAGGCCGCTCGCCGGTGTGAATGCGCCGATGCGTCACCAGGTGTGACTTGTAGACAAAGCGTTTGCCACAGTCTGGGCATGGAAAGGGCTTCTCGCCCGTGTGCGTGCGCTGGTGGATGGCCAGGTGTGAGCGGTACACGAAGCCCTTGCCACACTCCTCACAGCCGAAAGGCTTGATGGCGGCGTGGTAGCGCTGGTGTTTTGCCAGTCGGGAGCGGTGAGGAAACACTTTACCACATACATCACAGGTGGTCTCTGGCCGCCCAACTGGGGCAGTTACCGCAGCTGGAAACACCCAGGGTGCCACCAGGTTTGAGTCAGGCTCCTTGTCAGTTAGGAAAGGCTTCGCCTCTGACCCATCGGCCAGGATCCTGAGGTCACCAGGGTCAGAACCCCACCCCTCTAGGGTCTGGGCTGTATCCGAGTCATCTGGACCCCACGTCCCAGGAACGTCCCCCACACCATAGGCAGCGGACCACAGCCCAGGGGGCTCATTCTCCTCCTCCGCCACCTCTGCCAGGAAGTCCTCATCATCTTCCTCCTCATGGTCCTCCATGTCATCAGTCCAGTACCAGGCTCCTGAAGAAGACAAGGCATGAGGCAAGAGAAGTGAAGAGAAGCCAGACTTCTGCAGAATCTCTAAACACTCCCAATGCCAGGTCTCCCCTGCCTGGTGGAAGCCAAGGTGCCTTCATGAGATGGAAGTGAGCTTGTGTTCACACCCCATCATCTATCCTGTAGGGCCCAGGGGCAGTATAGCAACCTCCTGTCTCCCAGTTATAAGCTTTGTAGGCACAAGAAATGCACATGGAAGGAATGCTTATGATGGTGACTCCTTGGAAGACTGGGGCTCCTTTACTTGTTGGCCTCAACTAATACCTCTTCCAGATGTCCCGCTCTCTCCTGGACCTGTGGACAGTGCTGGTAAGTAGGCATGGTACAGAATGTCTGCAGGTTCTTATGACAGCTGAAGCTGATGAGATCCTGTACCCCTAAGAATGGAGACCCAGAGGCAGTTTCCCCAACACCCCCAGTCTCCTGCAGAGCTTCCCTCCTGGGCAGGCCTCTTCAGCCTCAAGTGTCCAGTGAGTACCAACCTTGATGAACATCTAAGCTTAGCTCAGCATCTCTTCCCCGACTTCTTCACTAGGTTTGGGCTAGCCAGCAGTTAGGGGCCTTCCTTCCATCCCCACATGGAGTCCAGGAAAAGAGGCCCTGGGCTGAGGGCCAGCAGGTCAGCTCGCCACGCTCACTCTACCAGGAGCCACGCTCACTCTACCACAAGTCCCCAGAGCCCAGGAGCCTTTCCCACTAAGCAGCAAGCTCTGCTTGATGGTTTTTTGATCTGCCATGAATTGGGGAAACAGTCCTGTCTGCCAAAACCACGGTTGGCCTTCAGGGAACTCCCATTACTGCAGGTGAGGACAGCTTGAGCTCCTGCTGTGGCCCCTGAGCTGCACCCCACGGCTCCCATCTCTTCCTATTTCACAAGAGGGCAGTACAGGTGATGTAGGGTATGGCTGGGGAGTCGGGTCTATTGGGTTTTCTCATTTGTTAGATGGTGCTGGTCTGCCCACCACCACTGTACACCCGGGAGGGGACTGATGTCCCAGAGATGACACCACAGGAACCATGAGGGACAGCCTGGTCTGTGGCAACCAGATGTCCGCCCTTATGAACACTTTGCATTGTGCCCACCTCAGAAACCCAACATCCAGAAGGGTCCTGCCCCCGAGGCTCTGGCTGGAGCTGGTCACCTGGCACAGTGAGCCAGGACCAATGATTATTACCCAGGCGGGAGGGGAAGCTGGCACCAGGGAGGTGGTCTCTACCTGCCTCCATTTGTTCTATCAGTTGTCTGTTCAATTCAGAGAGCTAGTCTTGGGGGAGGGGGAAGAGCTGGCACAGAACAGCAAAATAAAAGCCAGCCCCAGTCCATGAGCATAATTCCGCAGTGACAAACAGGCACCATACAGACAGATGGAAAAAGAGGCCACTTTATTTGTTCACACCTTGCAGTCATTTCTATGTTTTCTATAATTAGTGCCATTATACTATTCTATTAAAAATAATCTTCCAAAGAGAAGACCCAGTTGTCCTGTGATTAAGCGAGTGCATCTCTAACTCCCACCTAAGGCTTCAGGGGCTGCACAGAGAAGGCCCACAGCCACCTCACTGGGCACCCAGCTTTCTGTGGCAGCAGCTTTCCCACATCCAGAGAAGCAGGGGCAGCTTTGAAGGCTTCCATGATTATCGAAGGGGATTTGACCTGGAGACTGAGGAGGATTCTTTCAAAACCAACCTACAGGGTGGAGCAGAACTGCTCCATGGATTTCTGAGACTGAATGGCCGCAGACAGCCTCCCATGGAGAAGCTGATGGGTTTGAATTGCCAACCTTGTGGTTAGCTACCCAATGCACTATCATGGCCCCTTAGGGTTCCTCGAGTTGGTTTTAATCAGACACTCCTACAAGGTAGACGGGGAGATTCAAGCATAGTGTCTTAGTGGGCTGTGTGTGCGTACCTAAGGTTACAGCCAAGGACCCAAACACACTGGTAGCCAAACCCTAAGACAAGACTCAGGAAGAGACAGGGCCACTTTAGGGACCCAACAGGAACCCATAGGAAGACCAGCCTGTCCCTGCTGACAAAAGTGGCCCAGAGTCCGGAGGGGGGATGCTCTTGAACAGCTGACTCAGGCTACAGCAGAGGCTGGGGAGAGCTTCCCAGGGGGTCTGCCAGTTCTCAGATCCCCGTAAGTATGGGTCAGACACCCCCTAGCTGGGGGGGTGCAGGGCATACTGGTGGGAGGCAGTGTGGGATGCCCTTCTCAGCTAGGGGGTAAGAGGAAGTGGGCAAAGACAGGAGGATGGGCCAAGGTCAGCATGGCTTCTCTGGAGCCTGGGGGGACCACCCCCGAGGGGTGAGGAGAACAGAAGGGGCCTCAGTTTCTCTGAGACATCTACTGCAAAGGCCTTGACCTTGGAGGTGAATAAGCGTGGCCCCTGAAGAGATCATGAGGGACAACAGGGTTTCTGGGTTGAAGGCAGAGCAGGGGTTCAAGGATAGCCTTCTGGGAAGGGGAAACCAGCAGGGCCTTCTGGGTCCTGACTGGGGATGGACAAGACTAATTTGCAGAGACTTCTAGTCCTCCATGTCAGGCAGTGTCAGGGGCTGATGGTCAGCCCACCTGCAGGCCTTTCTCCAGCTGCATATCCTGCTCCAGGGGCAGGGGTCTGGTGAGTGATTACAGTGGGCACCCACAAGGGAGGGAGAGGGACACTGTTCCTTAAGCCAGGTGAAGAAAGGAAGGCAGGTGGGGCAGGGTACAAAAAGATGAAGAGGAGGAGGCGTGGGAGGGGGGCGGCGGGGGAGGAAAAAGTCTAGCAGGCTGCAGATGTTCTGGCAAGGGGAACCTAGACAAGGGGCAGAGGGCAGAGTGGGATGGAAGCTTCAAGTTTGGGTCCAGGAGGTGGTGGGTACCTGAGTAGGACTTGGCTACAGTCTCAGATTTATGTGAGGCTCAACTTGTCTGAGGAACACAAATGAGGTCTCCAGAGCACACTGTTATTGTTGTTAGGTGTCGTCAATTCCAAGTCATAGTGATCCTGTACAGGCTTTCCAAGAGCGGCTGGTGGGTTTGAACTGCCAACCGTAGGATTAGCAGTTCAGTGCTGATCCTACAGCAACCACCCCTGGGCTCTCAGAGAACACCTATTGTTGTTGCTAAGTGCCATTGAGTCATTTCCAACTCATAGCGTATTTGTACAGGGTTTCCAAGGCTTTGCATCTTCACGGAAGCAGAAAGCCTCATGTTTTTCACACAGAGCAGCTGGCAGGCTCGAACCGTAGACCTTGTGGTTCGCAGTCCAGTGCTAACCGTATGGAACCACTGCGCTCCCCAGAGTGACTCCCCACTAGTGTCTTGCAAAATCACAGAACAAAAATGCAGAATTGGTCTCTGAACAGTTCGCATCTGTCCTACCCAGACCCAGGCATTCTCCACCAGCCCTGCTGAACAGGACTGAAGACAGGAAGCAAATTGTTGTTAAGTGCCGTCACCCGAGCTCTGACTTATAGCAACCCTGTGAGGGTTTCCAAGGAGTGGCTGCTGAGCCCGAACCACCAACTTTGCGGTTCAAAGTGACATTACAGTCCAGCGCATTAACCCACAGCACCACACCAGGACTCCAGGAGGTGAGCAGGCGGGGACATTTAGCAGATGGCCTGCAGCTATAGTCATGGACAAAGGCCTGGTGGGCGGACTCAAAGCTTCTATGTCATGACATACACCCAGGACTGCCTGCTCCCAGCACCCACCACCAGTCCTGAGGACAGCACTGGCCCCATCTTGGAGCACACTTAGTCAGACACAGATCACACAGTGGGGGTCACCTAAACTCAAAGGGGAGCTGTGATGGACTGAATGATATCCCTGCCCCAAGATTCACATGTTCTGATCAGCCCCTACTAAGTCGCTTTGCATTGCACTCAGGAAAAAAGGCTAGAGCCCAGTTGCCTCCAAGAATCAATGGGGAGGCTGGCCCGGGGGGCGGGGGTGGGGTGTGCATCTAGACCAGCACATGCTTACTGCCTCCGGAAGGATCTTCTGAGAGATGCTGATACAAATCTGTCTTAGAAGGAGTACAGCCAGAACACTCCTTAGAAGCAAGGATGGCAAAGACATGTGATCAAGAAGGACCAGTCATGCTTGGAAAAGCGGAGGGTCAGCATAAAAGAGGAAGATCCCCAACAAGATGGATTGACACGCTAACTACAACCATGCGCTCAAACCCAGCAATGACTGCAAGGATGGCGCAGGACCAGGCAGTTTGGTTCCTGGGGTCACTGAGTTGGAACTGACTCGATGGCAACAAACAACAACAGGGCAGGTCTCCTACTTGGCTCCTCTGAGAAAGGACTGACTACCCATTCCCAACCTCAGCCTCGAAATAACAGCAGTATCACTCACTGGCTCCCCCCAATACTGAAACTCAGAAAAGTGTACAGGAGAGTCTGGGGGAGGGGAGAAAGTCACGGCAGGAAGTGTATCAGCAGCAAGGAGAAGGGCCTAAGAATGAAGATCAGAGCCCCGACCCCACTGGGGTCCACACAGTGACCACCAGAAATGTCGGCTTCACACTAACACGGAGTTAGTGATCTCTCACTGGCTACTTTGCAGGATTGTTTCCAGAACAAAGAGGACCCATGTACCCACACTGTTGGTGGTGACCGGTTTTTTTGTATTCTTAAAGTATCTGCTCCCTGCTCTGAGTGAGTAATGCCCTCGAGAGGTCAGGGATACTCAAGGCCAAAACTCAGAGCGCCCAAGAGGGGCACAGACTTCTGCTGAGTTTGTTAACACACTGAAACAGACCCCCAGAGCCCCATGAAGCCCTGAAGAGTACTGAAAAGCCCATCTGTGGGCCAGAAACCATGGGTGTGGCTGACAGTCTCCTTCTTCAGCCAAACAAAGCAAGGCTTAGGGTGCAGGGCTTTGAAGGAACAGAGTTAGAGCGATATCCGATGCCTTGGGAGAAAATTGTCACCTCAAATGCCTTCTTGGCACATTTCTCCAAAGTTTCCTCAACTTCTTAAGCCCATAGTTGCTCACCCAAGTCAGGGCCACTGCCCACAGCCTGCCTCTAGGCCCTCCTGTTTTCAGAGTTGCTGAAACAGGCAGAGCTGAAGGCTCTGGATCTAGAAGGAAGTGGGGACTCACGCAGCCCCAGCTCGGCATGTCCAGTTCCAGCTCCAAGCCACAACCTGACAACCTGCCCTCACTAACCCAAAACTCCTAAAACCACAGAGTCCAAGAGGGCGACAGGTATGCTGTAGGATATTACTGGACTGCTAACCACAAGGTTGGCAGTTCAAATCTACCAGCCCCTCCACAGGAGAAAACTAAAGCTGTCTGTTCCCATAAAGATTTAGTTTTGGAAACCTTACAGGGTCACTGAGTTGGAATCGACTCAATGGCAGGTTTGATGTTTGGTCTGGGGTAAGTGATGAACTGCTAACTGCACGGTTGGTGGTTGAACCCTATCAGCTGTTCTGTGAGTGAAAGACGACGCTGTCTGCTCCCGTAAAGACTGACAGTCTCGGAAACCCCACGGGGCAGTCCCACGGTGTCCTTGGTGATGCCACCAGTTCATGCACCCTGCTGCTAACCAACAGGTTGGCAGTTTGAAGCCACTAGCAAGCAGCTGTGACGGAGCAAGGCCTGGCCACATGCTACCATAAAGATGACCGCGTCTAGAAAACCCTGAGACAGTTCTCTCTCTGTCACACACGGTCGCTAAGAGTTGCAACTGGCTTGATGGCACCGTGGGGGGCAAACAGTTAACAGGCTCCACTTCTAATCTCAAGGCTGGTAGTTTGCGTCCACCTAGAGGTACCTCAGAAGAAACACCTGGAGGTCTACTTCTAGAAACTTAGCCACTGAAATCTATGGAGCCCAGCTGTGCTCTGACACACAGAGGATCGCCTTGAGTCGGGGCTGACTCAACAACTTATTTTTTATGAAGATCTCCAGTGCTCCTGGAGTGACATTGCAGGATAAACACTGGACTGCAAGGTCAGTCTGAACTGTTAAGGTCGGCATTTCAGACTCACCAGCCACTCCTTGGAATCCCTATGTAGGGTCGCTATGAGTCAGAACCGACTCGCCAGCACTGAACAGCAGCAATGCTCCTCAGATGTGAGGCTGGAGAGACTGTATCTCACATACTCTGAGCATGTCATGAGGAAGAGCAGTTCTACTCTGTCCTACAGTGTCATCAACTGAGCGGAACATCACACCATTACCACCACCACATGAGCCTGCTAGACCCGGGGTCTCTATGGAGCTGAGACCAGATACAACCAAGGTAAAAAGGCAGAGGTTAGGAGGGAATTTAGCTTGGTCGCCATGGAAACCTCCAAACAGTTATCCAGGGGAACGGCCAGGAAAGCTGGTGAGGCCATGTTCTGATGGGAGCTCCCCAGAGCTGTGCAGGCAGTGACCCGAGCTGTTCCACTCATGCTCACCTGTGTAGACGCCAGTGACAATGTCTCCCTCCTCAGGACGGGGGCTGTCTGGGACCCATGGGTCTTCCCCTTGTTCCAGGCGGAAGATCAGATCCGGCTTGGGGATTGGATATCCTGCCCAGGAGGAACACAGCCGGCAGCTCAGGCTGCACCCGGCCGCCCTCACCCTCACACACAGAACTCAGCCACCAGCTGCTTCTCGTCTCCTCTTCTCTGAGCGTCCAGACCTAGCCCACCCCACCCCACTCCGCCTCTGCTCCAGGAAAGCCCACCTTCCCTTCTTTCCAGAGCTGACTGGCCAGCTCAGCCCTTCCACCCCACTCCCTCAACCTCACTCAAGGCCAATGGGGAACATGCTCAGAACCCAGATTTGCACGGCCACCTGGCTCCAGGGACCCAGCTTCCCTGGAGCAGGCTGACTCTGGCACCCCCTTCTCTAAGACCTGAGGTCCCGGAAGCCCCCGTCTCCCACAGCCATACCCGACAGCCCTTTGAGCTGGTGGCATCTGGGGCCCACCAGGGCCTCCTTACCCAGAGATACCAGGATGCCATAGTTCTCCTGCATGACATCCTTGTAGAGGTCCCGCTGGCACGTGTCCAGCCTGTCCCACTCCTCCAGCGAGAAATACACAGCTACATCCTCAAAGGTCACCAGCCCCTGGAAAATGAAGCCCGGAACACTGCCCTCCATGGACTCAGGTGGGGGACAGAGCATGCAGAGAGATGGGCTGAGACCCCAAGGCAGGGCTCTCGTGGCTGATCTATCACCATGTGCTATCTCACAGGGTGATATCATCCCCAGCTCTCACTGAGGATTTAAAATGCCAGCATAGCATAAAGGCTCTCAGATCTCCCCTGGCCCTGGAGGCGGGACCCCAGTTCCGTTTGTTTCAGACACAGAAAACTTGGTCTTGGGGAGGTGACAGACAGCACAGCTGTAGGGACAGAGTTGGGACTTGCTGAAGGTCAGGAGATGACAGAGCCCACACCGGCTACCTCCCAGCCCTCCTGATCCAGCCTGGTGGAAACAAATGCCATGGTCACATTGAATACATGGAGGCCACCTCTGAGTGGACAAGTGGTACTGGCTGAGTGTGGGCCCCAGTACCTGGGTTGATGGCTGACCAGAACCAGCCTCCAGACAGAGGGAACCACTGCAGACAGGGACTGGCCCAGACCTTGGGGCAGAGCCAGGTGTGGCGAGTACAGCTGAGTGGGTAGGGGAGCGGATAAAGTGACGGGGACATTCCAGTGGCCTGGGATGGGTGGTCAGGTCCCAGTAAAGCAAAGCCCACAGCCCCTAGTAGCTCCAAGTTGGGCCAGGCCTGGACACCCCAGTGCTCTGTGGTTACTAACAGGGTCCTCAGGGCAGTGGAGGCCAAGGCCTCCCTGGGGAATCCTGCTTCAATGACAGGCGCCCACTCACCTGGGACCCAGCTGTTAAAAACTCCTTCTCAGCCACCTCTTCTTCCTCCTCGTCCTCCTCCTCATCCATATCATCTTCCTCCTCCAAGGCCTCATCCCCAGGAAAGTCTGGAATCTGGGAGGTCTGCAGAGCTAAGGGGAGCCATCTCTCAGAAACTTTTTGCATCTGGTCTGGTATCCTGGCCCTCCCTACCTGTCAGGCAGCTCTGGACCCGAGTGCTCCAGCTCCTGCTCCTCTGGCCAAGCCCCTGTCTTCGTCCCCTCCATGCCCACTGGCCCCTTCTTCTTACCCTTCTCCCGAACGCCTGGGGACTTGGTGCTTCCTGCTCTGTTCAGTCGATTCTGGGTCTCCAACATGGGACTCTGCTCCTCGGCCACCACTTCCTCCTCCTCTTCCAGCTCTGCCATCACCTCTGCCACCTGTCCCTCAGCCACCTCCTCCTCTTCCTCCACTCCTATCTCCTCCTCCTCGGAGTCGTCTAACTCCTCCACTTCTTCCTCCTTTCCCTCCTCCTCCACCTGACGGGAACCACATTCCGACCCGTCCTCCGCCCTCTCCAGCAGGGAGGACGGGGCATCTGGCATCGTGTGCAGGGCTGCCATGGGCTCTGGAAGGAAGTCTCACTCAGCTCAGTCTGGAACACAGATGCACCTGGAAGTCACCTTGTGCTCCCCTCTACACAGCAAATCCTGGCGGGACTCCCCCTCCTCCCCAGTGCTGAGGGAGGCAGGCTTTACTCCCCAGTTAGAGCAGTTAGAGATAAGTGCAGGGACCTGGGATACTAAGACATCTGGGACCAGCTAGGCTCGGGCTCCATCTTGCTAGCAAGCCTATGCTTGGGGTGACCTGTAGGACTTTCTTGAGGGAGATCAACCACTTCCCCCAAGGCTTTTATTCCCTTGGCCCACAGTGTAATTTTCGGGGGTCACATTTCGTTTTCAGGGGTAAATGCTGCCTGCAAGGAGCGCCCCTACACTACACAGAGCAAAGGGATGCTGACCCAGGCAGCCAGCCACCCGTGAAGGTGGACTCAGCAAGGACAGCCGGAGCAAGTGCAGGCACATTGGGTAGGGCCGGAGCAGGTGAGGCAGCCCCGCAGTTTCCTTAGGTCAGTCTGCCGAGTGTCCTCATTGTCTAGTCGAGCTCCATTCTACAAGACATGGGAGAGTAGAGAGCGGGAATGTGAACTGGCTTCTCTGTGCATCTGGACCAAAGCTCAATGGATCCCTGAGGTTTGGCTCATGGCCAGATCAGCAAGGTGGACAGAGAGACATCTGGGGCCAAACTGTTCTCAAGCCCCCATCAGACCAACTTCAGATGCTTATGGTCGTGTGCTCAGAGCCTGGGTCATGGACCAGAGAGTGAAGAGAGAGTTGGGGTCTGCAGACATATGGGGCATCCTTGTTCCCAGCTGCATGTCTCTCCACGCACCTGAGGGCAGGACAGGGTCTCGGGCTTGGCTTCTTTATGAGCATAAACAGCATCTGCCCCATCAGTGTCCAATGAGCCCCAATGAGCGAGGTCATTTCCAAAGGAACAGCTGAAGCAAAGTGAGCCAAAACCAACCAAAAAACCAAACCCACTGCTATCAAGTCGATTCTGCCTCATAGAGACCCTGTATAGGCTTTCCAAGACTGTTAAGTCTGTCATGAAGCAGCTGGGGGGGGGGGGGTTTGAACCACTGACCTTCAAGTTAGCAGCTCAACATGTAACCCACTGTGCCACCAGGGCTCCTTAAAAGTGAGCCAAGCCCACTAAAAATCAGGACGGATCCAGAAACATCAGGCCACATGAGGCACTCAGGCTAGCTCATCACCTGTACCAGAGGAAAGCATCTACCACAGAATTCCTCAAACAAGACTAGGCGCCCCACAGGAAGACACTCCCAAGTCACAGGGGGTCATTCCGTGTCCCTACCAGTTGCACAATAAAGTTGGTCATAGGGTTGTGCTGTCCCCATACTGAGTCACTTCACCTGGCATCGCATAGGTCCTCACAATAATGGCCTCACTAGGGTTACCCTCCCACCCCTTTGCAACCCCAGGCCTCCTCCTGTACCAGACTATGTCATTAAAATTGATTATCAATTTTAATAACAGAACAATACGTGATAAGTATCGTGGTAAATTGCTCAAATGTTGTATTTCTTAATTTATATGAACACTCATCACAAAACTGTTTAGTAAAATCTTTCTGCATTGAATTACAACATTACCACTTAGAGACGTTATTAGCAACTGCATTTGGCCTTTGGCGTTCTTTTCCTTTAGTGATTACTTCATTCTCAAAGAAAAGTTACTGATACAGGTTCACAATTATTAACCACCACAATATTCCATCCAAACCACCAGAAAATTGTACAAAAGCGGCAACTAAAAAACACCTGCAGGAAAACAACAGCGCGAGCTTGTAGCACGAGCGAACAAAACCACGTGATTCAGAGTATCGTTGTGATTGGATAATAATGACAGCTCTGACTGGAGCACATTCCTACTGCCATTGAATTGATTCACACTCTTAAGGTTTCCAAGGATGTAAATCTTTGCCGCAGCAGACTGTCTTATCTTTCTCCTGTGGGTGGCTTGTGCGTTTGAACAGCTGACCTTACAGAGTCAAAGCTTAACCCACTGTACAACCAGAGCTCCTTTAGAATACATTACAAAACTAAAAAAAATCAACTTATTACCATCAAGTCAATTCAGACTCACAGTGATCCTGTATAGTTTCCAAGGTTGTAAAATTTTACAGGAGCTGAAAGCCTCATCCATCCCAAGTAGCAGCTGGTGAGTTTGAACTGCTAACCTTGAAGTTAGCAGTCCACTGCTTATTCTAGGGCACCATGAGGGATCCTTTGGAGTACATCCTGTTGCTATGGTTGTTGTGTACCAATGAGCTGGTTCCAACTCACAGTGACCCTGCACTGAATTTCTCAGGGCAGCTGGTGGGTTTGAGCTGGCGACCTTGTAGTTACCAGTCCAGTGCTTATCCTACAGCGCCACACCAGAGCTAGAAGGTTCCAAAAGTAAATTAGCATAAAGTTTTACCCTTGTAGATATACTGACACTTTAAGTTTGTTGTTGTTATTAATTGCCCGACTCACAGCAACTCTGTCTAGGATTTCCAAAGAGCAGCTGGTGAGTTTGAACTGCCAGCCTTGCAGTTCAAACTGGCCTTGAGGTGGAGTACTTAGCTGGGCTTATGAAAGTTGCCTTTGTGATTATAGGTAAAAGGAGACTTTTATTAAAAATAATAAATTTCTGCTAAACACTCAAAAAAAAATTTTAATAGACAGTCATTATGGTGTCAACCCCACTGACAGAGTCCCCAGCGTGGTCCACACCCTTCACGTGCCCTAGTGATGCCATTGCCCCAGAAGTCATGCTGGGCACACAGGACCCAGCCTGACATGACCCCATCTCCCGCCACCTTCACTCTTCCGTCCTTGCTGGTTCTGCCCCATCCTAGATTCAGAACCACTGAACCCAAAGGCTCGGTAGCAGAAGGTACCTAGCACGACCACCCCAGACTCCAGCCTCTCTGAAAGCTTCCCCAGCTCTCTGGGTATGTAGGTGCTAGGGTGTGGGCATGTTACCTCCAGAAGGACACAGCCCTGCCCAGCACCCAGGGCACTGAGAACACCTAGCTGATGTTTCCCATCCACCACCCACCTCATACCTAGGGGAAGACTTTTCTCCCCGAGGTCTAGGCAGTGGCTTCTGTGGAGCCCAGACACCCTGTCAAGTCAAGCAGTGCCGTCTCCTGCCTGGTTACTACCCAGAGCAGCCACTTTTGACTCCACATACCAGGCTACCATACCCAAGGACCCAACCAGAGAAGAAAATGCCAAAGCTTTGGAATAAAGTGGCCTCATGTTCACCCTACCCCAGGGCCTTAGCACGTGCCATTCTCTCTGTCCCTCCTCTTCTTTGCTGATTCTCTGGAGGCAGCTTCCTGGGCCCCTGTTACACAAAGTCCCTGTACTATTCTTCACAGTTCTCATCCCACTGTTTTATCAAAACAAATCCATCAGCATTGGGTCAATTCCAACTCACAGTGACCTTACAGACAGAGAAGAACTGCCTCATAGGGTTCCTAGGTTGTAATCCTGGTGGCGCTGGAGGATCAGCACTGGACAGCAAACAACAAGGTATGTCATTCAAACTAACCAGCTGCTCCTAGGAAACCCTATACGAGGTGGCTTTGAGTGGGAACTGACTCCATGGCACTGAACAACAACAATCTTTATTTACAGAAGGGAGTCTTGGTGGCACATTGGTTAAGCACTTGGCTGCTAATGGAAAGGTTGGTGGTTGGAGCCCATTAGCCATTCTGCAGGAGAAAGCCGTGGCAGTCTGCTTCTGTAAAGATTTCCAGCTTTGGAAAGCTTTGGGGGCAGTCCTAGTCTGTCCGACAGGGTGACCACAGGTCCAAACAGACTCCACAGCAGCGGGTTTAGATTCTGGTTTTGGTTTATCTCTGTCTCTGATGGAACAGCTGGTGGGTCTGAACTGCCAACCTTCTGTTTAGCAAGCACTGCATCATCAGGGCTCCTCTGCGGTTTTATAAATGTATGGATTTGTCTGTTGTTGCCAGTCTCCCTGGGAAAGCAGGGGCTCCCTCTGTTCAGAATGTATCCCTGCTGGACATATTAAACAGGTTCCTAGAGAAACGACTGTGAAGTCTGTGCTCAACATGACGGATGTGACATTTTGTACACTCAGCAGTTTGGCCCTACTGTCACATCCCAAAAAGAAGCCCAGGTGTGACTCAGCTGGATAAACTCTGAACTGCTAGCCACAAGGTCAGCAGTTTAAACCCACCAGCTGCTCCGCAGGTGAAAGATGAGGCTCTCTGCTTCTGTAAAAGTCTTACAACCTCCGAAACCCTATACAGGATCATTATGGGTCACAATCAACTTGATAACAGTGGGTTAAGCATTGGGCTGCTAACCATAAGATTGACGGTCCAAGCCCACCAACCACTCCACACAGGTGAGGCAGTTTGCAGCTGTTAAGATTTACAGCCTCAGGAAACTGCTGTACACTAGGATGCTCTATGGTCGCTATGAGTTGGAATCGACTCGAAGGCATTGAGTTTTGGTTTTGGTCCCATCCTAGTGAACAGACGAACCACTACTGGAGTCTCCAAAGAGGACAAAGAGTAAACCCCTTCTTCCACCAAATCCAAGCTGTATAAGTCAGCAATCATCCACAGATGGACAGAGGGCCTGGGTGCAGCCAGACACCCCACACTCCCCCAGGATCAATACAGCATCAGGACAGAGGTTATACTCCCATCCCTAAGCTCTGGATTTCTTCTGCAATCAGGTGTGCTCCCCAGATCCACAAGCTCCCTCTTCTTCCTTCCAGTACCTCAGCCCACCCAAAACACACCATTCTACTCTCTTCAGAAGTTGTCAGCAAGTAGCCCCAATCACTGTAAACCTTGGGTTATCTCCCTCCTGTCCTCTAGAGCCCAGCACCCTAAGAAGCAGTGCTCCAGACCCATTAAAACGGTGTGATGAGATCCCTCAAGGGAATAAGGGAAGAAGGCAAGGAGTGGAAAAACTTACTAAGTTAGAAAACTGTTAAAAACATATCACGATAGTCCCAAATCCAGGGAAACCGAGGCAAGGCAATGGGTGATGTGTAGGGGACACAGCTATCTAGACCCCCTCTTTCCCTTTTAGGGGGGCTCATGTTCTTCTCCTCCTCCAGGAAGCTTTCTTTCTAACCCTGAACATAAGACCCCCAAGGTCCAATAACTTAGGCTCCCCCTACTCTTCCTGGGTTGGAGCGTTGATGGCACTATAGGATAAGCAAAGTCAGCAGTTCAAACACACCAACCACTCTGAAGGAGAAAGACAAGGCTTTCTGCTCTGGTAAAGATTTACCGCCTTGGAAATCCTACACAGGGCCTCTGAGAGTCGGAACCTAACAACAACTCTATTGAATTAGCAGTTCCTGGTACTAGTGTACCCAAGGAGTCCTGGTGTGGTGCCGTGGGTTCATGTGCTGGACTGCAAAGTCGGTTTGAACCATAAGGTTAGCATTTCTAGCTCACCAACCACACCTCGGAAGCCCTATACAGGGTCGCTATGAGGCCATGGCACTCAACAACAACTAGTGTACTCAGGACAAGCCCCTTCCCACCCCTGTCAGCAACAGCTAATACTTGCTGAACCAGCCCAAATGCCAAGGAGTCCTCATAAGGCACAGCTGGGGGCTCTACCTGCCTGATACCTGCACACCTTCCCTATCCCTGCTCATGGACACTCCACCAAGTCCCACTGGGCAGGCCCGAAAACCCGCCCCTATCGCACCTCAGAACCCCTCCAAGTCCGGGACGGGTACGGCTTAAAGAAGCCCACCAGAGCCTCCGTTTGCAAAAGAGGGAGGGCTCAGACGAAGCCCCCAAAGTCACAAAACATGCCCAAAGAGGCACCTGGTCTGCAGGGGCTCATCCCCCACCCGGCCACTTCTCCAGCTGCGGCCATGGCCCCGGCAGGTCCCCTGAATGGGTGTGTCCTGGGCGGCCGCGCCCGCCCTCTCGTCCCTCCCAGGATGTCGCGCGTGTTCTCCGAGGTCCACCCACCCACGCTGCTGGCCTGGACAACGCTGGGGTCGGACCTGCCCCGAACGTTCAGTGGCCCGGCAGGTGGGGGTTGTGTGCGGAGTGCCGCACAGGAGCCCATGGGTGGTGAGATGGGAACCCGCCGGGGGCCCGGGAGGGGGTCCGCGGGTGGCCAGTCAGGGGTCCGTGGAGCCCACACCTGCCCTCAGGCCCAGGCCCCGCCATCGCCTCCCCGGCCTCTGCTCTGACTACAGGGCGGCCCCAACCGGCGCGCGCCCTCCGGACCCGCCGCCCGCGCCCCACTCACCGCGTCGACCGGGCGGGGAGCGCGCGTTGGGCGCCGGTCCTGCTGGCGGGCGTGGGCCCAGAGCTACACAAAGTGACGGCCCCGAGCTGCGCGGCGGCGGCGCGTGGGCACCGGAAGTTTCTCCGCTCGGCCCCGCCCCGCCCGCAACCACGGGGGGGCATTTCCGGTCACGCGGGGCCGTCGGGGTGCGCGCCGGGACCTAGGGGGCGGGGAAGGGAGAGGGGAGCGCCTTCTGCGCGCACCGGCTCCTGCGTTTACCTCTTTGGAGACGCACGGGACCCCTCCCCCCCCCAATTCCACAAAACTCCAGGGTTCCGCCTCTCCAACGTTCCCCAAACCCAACCCAGCCTCTACCATTGCCCCACGATGTAGCGAGTGCTAAGAATGCCAGGCCCCCGTGTCCCTGCCCGCCCTCAGGACTCTCCCCTGCGCCTCTCCTTCCCGCCCTCCCCCGGGAGGGAGGCAGTGACCACTCGGGCCTCGCGCTCAGACCTCCACGTGGGGAATGGAGCAGGTGAACAGGGCGCCCGAAGCACCACCGGCCACCGGTCTCCAGCCACCTCTACTGCAGGTTTGGTTATAGGGCCAGCACTGGTAAACATCTGGGCTACGGGGCAGACCTGGCTTGGTCCGAGGGGTGCGCTGGACTCTGATAACTGAGGACAAGAAAAGCATAGATGAAGCGGCCTCTGGAGGAGGGACACGTGTGGTGGGGAAGAATGCGGAGGGCGGGGTTATCCGGCAGAGGGAATAGGTGGCGGCTGGTGGTGTTACAACTGTGGGAAGGTGAGGTCAGCATGCCCCGCAGGGGATCCAGCCCGGGCCCTGCTGAGGTCTGCTGAGGAATGGTGTGACCCAGTCCCTCCTCAGGCTGTGCCATTGCTTTTAGGGCTCGTCTGTAGTTGCACACACACACATCTTGAGTGCTCAAGACAGGACAGCGCTCAGCTAGCGGCAGGTTCACACCTGCTTGAAATAACAGCTCTTCCCTGCTGAACGCGGTTCCTGGCTGAGAAGCTGCCCGCCCAGATCCCTAATCTCGGTCTGTAGTTGCTCGCAGCCCACCCACCCTGGCCTTTCCCAGCCCCACCCCACCCAAACAATGACCTGCAGTGATTGTTTGATTCTCTAGTTTTTCTGCTTTGTTTTTGTCTCTTGATGGTTTTGTTTTTAATTCGTTTTTAAATTAATAACTGACATTTAAAAACCAAGAGTCCCCGCTTTTGTAAAAACTAAAAAAAAGGGAAAATTAGAATTCTGACCACACAGGGTCCAGGATATGGATAATGCTGCTTTGTGAAGGTGTGAAATTAGACTTGGCTCACATCTGTGACTTCGTGTACAAGGTGGGCTGCTCACCCTTCTCCGGGAGTGCAGACACTTGCTATGAGGATACCAATGCACTCTTCCAGCCCTACCTGACTCTGTTCTGCTCTCTGCTGAGCCCCAAGACTGGATGTATAGGTCTGTGCTAGAGCACAGCCTGGGACTGACTGAGCCTCGCAGACACCCCTCCCTGCACAGGACTGGGTCTCCCAGATGGACTGCTCGCGTGTCCTGAGAGGTCACCTGGCTCTGGGGTGACTGTCCCAAGTGTCTGTGGGCAGACCTCTTTTGAGGTGCCTGCCTCAGCCTTCCTTTGCTCCTTGCCCCCCACTTTCACTCCACAGTGTGCAGCTCAGGGCAAAGGTGGCGTTTGTGTGGTCCTACTGCTTGGGCTTCAAGAATCTCTGGGTCCCAGCCAAGTCCTTGGCCCCTCTGGCCATCCCTTCCTGTGAGGTCTCAGGGCCCTCAATGGCACGCTCATTTCTGCAGAGGCTAGCAACCTTATCCCTGGAATGCCAGTTTTCCACATACCTCCCCAACACACACACAGGTACCTGCATATACGTACACATATATGTATGTCCGTATACACATATACACTTGCATATATATGTGCACATGCACACATAGGTTATTAAGTGTTGTTAAGTTAGTCTGACTCATAGTGACCCTGTATAGGGTTTTTGAGGAGTGGCTGGTGGGTTTGAAACATTGAGCTTGTAGTTAATATTCCGGTGCTTATCCTACAGTGCCACACCAAGATTCCTACATAACATATATACACATGCAGATGCACACATAAATGCAAATATACATGCACATGCATGTGTGCACATGTGACGAACATACCCATGCACACACACACAATTTGTCTACAGCCATACACATATACTATATACATACTCAGGTACTAATACACACTTTTTGAATAATAGATATGGACATGCATATACAAATACTCTGCTTTCTTTCATTCTCTGCAGGACCTCTTGGGCAGGACATGGTCACGTGTTCATATTGTCCATGTTACACACCTGCCATGTGCCCTGTACCCATGCCAGGGCTTCTCATCCTGGCTGTCCAGTTGGTGGGGAGGCTGGGGACACAGCAGGAGTTTCAAGTGGGACCTGCCCGGGTAGCCCAGGCTCTGAGCAGAAGGACCAAGGACCTCATGGCGCCAGGGCTATAGGAGGGAGTCGGGTAAGGGATGCATGGAAGCTCCTCAACAGGGCTGGGGGGATGTCAGCAGGGAGGGGAACCTGCAGGAACAGAAGCAAGACCTGAAGAGACACACAGCTCCCAGGACAGCCTGTGGAGTCCAGACACAGTCCTTGAGATCCCACTGAGGCCTGCTCCCACCCAGAGAGGGCAGTGAAGGGTCCTCTAAGGCACTGGGCCCTCGCCATTACAACAATCCTTTATAATAATTGGAAACATAAAGAGGCACTGGCATTTTCTATAATGGTGGTTAGATTGGGCTGGGCTTTGGTACTGTTTTATTGCATGATGGGCTGGGTCTAGATGTGTCCAAATCTTACCAATCACCTGCCCTGGTGGGCTGGGAACACAGGAATATCAGGGTTGGGAGGATGGGCAAAATTCCTTAATGTTGCAGAGCCTATACCCATAAAGGCTAGAGGCTGGCCATCAATATGCGACTGGTATGGGATAATGCACTGGACTGCAAGGTCAATGTGCACCACAAGGGCAGCAGATCAAATTCACCACCCACTCCTCAGAAACCCTGTACAGAGTCACTATGAGTTGGAACCAGCTCAACAGCACTTAACAACAACAACTACTACTAATTGAAAAGTTAGAGGTTCAAGTTTACCCAGAGGCACCAGTAACTGGTTGGTTTCCCCGTGATGGTTAAGTGCCACATCTGTGCACTGCCACCACAAGATCCTGTCATTCTCTGTTGACACGAGGGAGTCCAACTCCACAGCATATCCAATGTCAGCCAGCGTTCATGGAGTCCAGCCACTATTGACCTTCTCAATGGGGCAGTGCCCCCTCCACAGGACATTCCTTACCTGATGTCCTCCAGGCCCCTCCCCTTTGATACATTCCTCAACGCTCTGCCAAGGCAGTCCTAGCCACTCCCAACTCATTGTGTGTTCCCTGCCCACTGCTGTCCAGCCCACTCTGGCTCACAGCCCCCCTCCAGGCCAGAGTAGAAGTGCTCCATAGAGCTCCCGAGGCTGTCCTCTCTATGGAAGCACACGCCTCATCTTTCTCTCACGCTGCAGCTGGTAGATTCAAACCATCCGACCATTCGTTTAACAGGTGGGTGTTTGAACCTGGTGGTGGGCCATTGTTCTAGCCAAGCTTCAGGGGTTTCCCAGAATACTAGGACCAGTTCCAGGGCCCCTGCTGGAGTATTACATCCAGGGATACAGGCACGTCTCCCATATCAGTAGGCTCTCCATCCTCAGCCATGCATTCTATCCACCTTGCCCCTCACACTCAAGAGCCAGTCCCAGGCACTCTTTCCTGGTTCTTGCTCCTGCTAGTACGTTTTAGCCAGATCTTACGGCACCTTTGGGAACAAGACCTTTCCTTCCTTACAAAAGTAGTTCTAATATGGGTGAACTTGGAGGACATACTGCTGAGTGAAATCAGGCAATCACAAAAGGACAAACATTGTTTGAGATCACAAGGCTTTCTTGCTAAAAGAAATATTCTAGATTGTTACCAGGGATGGAAAGGAAAATTATTCACTGGATAGAGCGTAGGCACGTGCTAACTTGGGTGATGGAGAAGGCAATACACGACAAGAGGGAGGTTGGCAGAGGTAGCAGTAGACACAGGAGTGCAAGAGTTAAGCAACTAGAGGTCAACACTGTTAACTGATGGTACAGGAGGGTACAGCAATCATTGTAATGACATGAAGTGGCGATTTGTTGAATGTGGGATTGATGATCTGTCCTGTAACCTTCACTCAATTCACAATAAACAGTAAAAAAAAAAAAAAAAAAACCAGTTAGTTTCAGTTAGTGCTTAGCTGCTAACTGAAAGATCAGCAGTTCAACCTCACCAGTCACTCCCTAGGAGAAAGATGAGGCCGTCTGCTTCTGTAAAGATGACAGCCTTGAAACCCTCTGGGGGCAGTTCTACTCCATCCGATAGGGTTGCTATGAGTCGGATCACCTTGATGGCACCCAACAATAACAACAACACAGGTCAAGTGGCCAGAAGGGGAGATAGGGACAGATCTTGTCGGGGCAGGGGTGAGCAAATAGAGCCTTCAGATACATTTGCCTCAATGAACCCTCTGCATGATGTTCAAGCAAGACCCCAGAGAAGCTACTATCATTAGCAAGAGAGCATAGGTCACTTCTGCAGGCCCAGAGGGTTGAAGGGGGGCTGGGGACTCACGGTTCCCAGTATATCACCAGACAGTCCCAATCGAAGTGAACAAATCTCCCTCCTTCCACACCAGGGCTGTGTGTGGTGGGGACTGGCAGCTTTTCTGGCTTTCTTCCATGCTCAAGCTTGAGCTGTGCCTGGACTTCAGTAATCTGCCCTCAGCTGTAGGAAATGAGTCTCTTTACATTCTGGCAGGGAGACCTTCTGTCACTCTCCCTTGGTGGTGGTGATATGCCATGGAGTCGGTACCGACCCATAGCAACCCTGTACAGGGTTTCTGAGGCTGTAAATCTTTATGGGAGCAGAAAGCCTCATCTTTCTCCCATGGAAACAGCTGGTAGTTTTGAACTGCTGACCTTGCGGTTCACAGCCCGATTCGTAACCACTATGCTACCAGAGCTCCTTACTCAGCCTGTAATTGTGGCCCTCAAACAGTCAATTTCCCTCTTCATAGCATTGATGATTGTCATCAGCAAAAGTAACCTTATTCCATAGTCCCTGCAGTGATCAGTTAGTTCTCCCATCTATCTCAGATACTCAGGGTACCACAGGAGCCAAGCACACCCAAAGAGCCCCAGCCCAGAGTCCCCACCACTCATTACCTACTAGGGGATACCTGAGACTCTCTCACAAGTGATCTAATCCCACAATCGCACCTGTAGATGCCACCACCTTCTATACCATTTTTCTTAGAGTGGCCTCCTAAGAAGCTGACCTTGAAACAAGTATTTCTACACAAAGGTGAACTCTGAAGAAAGCACTCCCAGGGACAGGGATGGAGGGGAAATCAAGGAAGGATGAGAGAACAAGCCAAGTCCTTCAAAGGGTGCTTCACCCTGATTCTACCAGGAAATGCTGGAGCATCCATCATTAAGATTTCAGTGCCATCCTAACCAGAGAAAGTCAGCTTGGCTTGCATGCTCCTCCCATCCAACTTTGATTGGTTAAGGGTCCCCATGGGGGAAGACCCTTCTAAGGCACTTGTAGTTCTCAGGAAGACCCCATGCTTTGATCTTCCTCCAAATAAGGGAGGAAAGCACTGATAATTGGAGGTAAAAGGAGGGGGACAAGAGCACACAAAAATGGTCAAAAAGGGTCTGAGAGGATCTGGCTGGGTGAGACTTAATAGAATCAAAGGATCCTGATAGAATCAAGGGTCCTTCCAGACATCCTGACTTCCCTCTATGTGGGCATTCAGATGTGCTTTCTAAAACATCTAGGAACAGTGACCTCAGCCAGCGTGCCACTCTGTTGTTAAGCTGAATTGTTAGAAAGTTTGTCCTTAGATGTCAAAACTGATCTCTCAAGTGTCTACCCTGTGCTCTCTATTGGTCCCATGAGGATTTTACTAAATAAGTCCAGTGCCTGACTAAGATGTGCCTGACCTAAGTCATGGTATTTTCAGTCGACTCATGCATGTGAGGACCAGGCAGTGAATAAGAAAGCTGAAAGAAGAATTGATGCCTTTGAATGATGGAGTTGGTGAAGAATATTGGCGTTACAATGGACTGCCAGAAGAATGAGCAAATCTGTCTTGGGAAAGTACAGACTGAATCAGTTCCTTAGAGAGACACATACATTAGACACATTATCAGAAGGGACCAGTCCCTGCAGAAGGACACATTGCTTGGTAAAATAGAGTGTCAGCAAAAAAGGACCCTCAATGTGTGGTGGACTGACACAGTATTAGATAGAAAAGTAAGTGCTTAGGAGCAAAAGGGGCAGGTACCATGCTGCCTTCCCAGGAGACATCAGCAACTGCTGCTGTATGTACTGCCCTTGGCCCCAGCTGATTTTTATAACCATCATAAAGATAACATCTTCTGGCCCCAACCCATCTCTAACATTCTCCTTCCAAAAATGGAATTGTAAGAATGGTGCAGAACCAAAGTTTCATTCTGTTACACACAGAATTGTTATGAGTCAGAGCAAATTCATTGTTACTAAACAACATTCCCTAGTCAAAGACATCAGGTTGACAGATTTGGGGATGAGGCATGTACCTGAATAATACGTCTCATGCTCTAGAACGCGTGAGCCCTGGTGGCACAATGGTTGAGTGCTTGGCTACTAATCAAAAGATTAGTATTTTGAACCCATTAGCCACTTCTTGGGAAAAAGACTGGAAGTCTGCTTCCATAAAGATTACAAACCTGTCCTATTAGGTCACTATGAGTTGGAATTGACTAGAGAGCAATGGCTTTCTAGAACAAGCAGGAAAACTTTCCTTAAAAAGCTACTCAATCCAGAGGTGAAAGCACAAAGGCAGGACCATGTTGTTACTTGTTTTTCTTTATTTTTCACTTTTTTGTTTCTCACTTACCAACACATTTGTAAAACGTAACAGGTTGTGTTAGCAACGGAGAGACAGAGAAGAGAGGAAGGAGCAGAACAGATCTGTAGCAGCAGGTAAAAAGGCAGGTAGAAGAGATGTGCTTGGGGGCAGAGGGACCAGGTACCATCTTGCCTTCCCAGTAGGGATGAGCAACTGTTGCTGTTATACACTGCCCTTCCAGCTCATTTTATAACTTCGTTTGGCCTTAATTGCTGTTCCAAACATTTCCCATCCATCCTCACCCTGCTAGAGACCCAACTCAACAGCCTCAGCCCCTGGACAGCATCTGAGAAGTTTAGAACAGGTGCTGCCCAAGGATGGCCAGGCAGGGATTCCTTCAGACCTTGGAGAGCGCTTCCAGAATACTCTCTGCTTCTTCCAAGGCTTTTTACTTGATAGGACATGAACGGGGTGCTGTGGGCATGGGAACATGGCAGCCAAGAGACCCAAAGTCTAAGCCTCTCGGAAGCCTGGGACTACTGGGGGAAGGTTGGGGGAAGTTTTACCTCCTAGCAGAGTAGGACTTCCTGGTGCTTCTGCGCAGGACTCCTGGTGTGGCACTATAGGAAAAGCACTGGACTGCTTGCTAATCACAAGGTTTGTGGTCCAAACCCACAAGCTGCTCTTCAGAAACCCTATACAGGGTCACTATGAGTCAGAACCCACGTAACAGCAACCACCACATTGACCTAATGGATGTTTTGCCCTTGTGTTTATAAACCCAAGCATTTAAATCAGGATGAGATCCAGAATGTTTTCATTCCAGAAAGCAGCTCTAACACAAATGCCTCTGAGGTCAATTCAATACCTTGACCAGTTTTCTGTGTAGTACAGATTCAGTGTTTTCTCCTTTCCCACTTTTTTTTTTTTTTTTTTAAATCCTTGCAACAATTTTCATCAGGATCAAATCTTTTTGCGGTAAACTTAACCACCTACATTTGACTGCTGGGTAGTATTTACTCCGTGTCTAATGTCACCAATTGTCCCATCCTTCACAGGGTGCTTTCTTCTGTGGCTGTCATTTCTAGTAAGTTCCAATTTTTCTAGGAATACGCTTACCCTCTCTTGTTTGGCTTTGATAACCCATGTTTAGACTATGGGCTCTTTTCGCCATCATTGTCTTTTCTCTGGTCGGTGGTTTCTGGGGCTTTGTTAATTTAGGATTCCGTGGGAATTTCTCAATCCGGGAGAAACGTTTTCCTAACAATATTCCAGGATTTCTCTAGAGACCACAACATGGGGTCAAAAATGCCCTACTATGTGCAGTGCTTCCTGTACAGCAGTGAGGGGGGAGGCACGCTGGCCCTAGCAGCCTCTAAACTCAGGGATCCCTCCATCCCCATCATGGTTTCAACTTTGGCACATACATCCTGACCTTGGCTGCCCTTTGCCAAGGCAACTTTACTCCCCCAGGTACCATGGACGCATTCAGCCTCATGGTGCCTTGTCTGCGGTTGCTGCTGTCATGGTGGCCTGCTCGGGGCGCGAGGGTGCCGCCGTGGAAGGGGGTCGTGTGCTGCGGAGCAGACCAAGGCCCCGTGAGCGGCCGGCACCATGCAGCTGGCGCTCGTGGCGTCGGATCTGCACTTTGTGGCGAAAGCGCTCACCACAGTCCTCACAGACATAAGGCCGCTCACCGGAGTGCGTGCGGCGGTGGCGCAGCAGGTTGGACGAGACACTGAAGCGCTTGCCACAGTCGCCACAGACGTAGGGCCGCTCACCAGTGTGTGTGCGCTGGTGCTGCACCAGTGCCGAGCTCTCGCTGAAGCGCTTGGCACAGTAGGAGCAGGCGTAGGGCTTCTCGCCTGTGTGGATGCGCTGGTGAGTCACCAGATTCGAGTGCTGGGAGAAGCCCTTGCCACACTCACCACAGCGGTGCGGCCGTTCGCCGGTGTGTGTGGCCTGGTGCCTCACCAGGTCCGTGCTGCGACTAAAGCCTTTGCCACACTCGCCACAGATGGTTGGCCGGTCCCGCGCACGCCGCCGCCGCCGCTGCCGGGCTGGTGTCAAGGCTGCGCTGCCCGCAGGGCCCGGGATGGCCACCACAGCTGACGTGGCAACCGCTGGCAGCACCATGAGCTCCTGTAGCACCACGTAGCCTGGGGGCGCCACGACCACCGCCGCGGGCGCCCCTGGTCCGGCTGCACTGCCACAGCCCGGGGCTGGCACCAGCTCCAGCTGCAGCTCCGGCTGCACAGGCGTCAGCTCTAGTTGCACCTCCTGTTGCTGTGTGCCCAGATCCACCGGGGTTAGCTCCAGCTGCACCTCCTGCTGCTCCAGCTGCTGTTGCTGCTGTTCCAGGTGTTGCTCCAGCTGCTGCAGCTGCTCCTGAAGTTTGAGCTGCAGCTGCCGCTGCTCCTGCTGCCGCTCCAACTCCTGCCGCTGCCGCTCCAGCTCTTGCTCGGGCTCCAGGTCCACGGGCATCAGTTCCAGCTCCACCTCTTCCTCCTCCTCCTCGGGGTCTAGCGGGTGGGCCTGTAGCTGCTGCTGTTGCTGCCGCTGTAACTCTTCATGCTGCTGCAGGAGCTGTTGCTGTAGTTGTTCCTGCTGTTGTAACTGTGGCTGTTGTACTGGGGCCTGCTGCTGTAACAGTTGCTGTGGTTGCAACTGCTGCTGCTGCTGTTGGAGCAGCTGCAGCTCTAAGAGTTCCTGTTGCTGCTCTTGCAACTGCTGCTGCTGTAATTGTACCGGTTGAGGGGGCAGCAGCAGGAGCTCTTGCTGCTGCTGCACTGGTTCCTGCTGTTTTTGTGACAGTAGCTGTTCTTGTACTTGCTGCGGTTGCAATGGTTCCTGCTGCTGTTGCGGCAGCAGCTGTTCTAATGGTTCCTGCTGTTGTTGCAACCGTTGTTGTTCTTGGAGCTGTTGTAATAGCATACACTGTTGCAACTCTGCCTCTGGGTGTTGTCTCAGCAGCTGCTGTTGTTGCACTTGCTGCTGCAATGATTCCTGTGGTGGTTGTGACGCCTGCTGCTCTTGTCCATGTGGCTGCTGCAATGGTTCCTGCTGTGGCTGTGGCTGCTGCAATTCCAGTGGCTGTCCTATTAGTTGGTTTGGGGGTTGCTGCTGTTGCAGTTGTTCTTGTTGCGGCTGTGGATGCTGCTCTGGCTGCTGCTCTCCCTGTTGCAGTTGCAACTCTTGCTGCTCTGATTGGGCTTCCTCCATGACTTCACTGGCCCCTGTCAGGGCTGAGGCTGCTGGCTGAGGTGGGCTGCTGCTCCCCTCCTGAGCCTCTTCGTTCTCCTGGCTCTCGCTCCTGCCACTGCCACCTGTAGTGGAAATGGCAGGTAGCTGGGGGAGAAAGATCGACAGGCAGCTCTCTGGTCCAGGCCCTCAGAGCCACCCCCTGCCCCATGCACAGCTGTTCAAGGATACACTAAGAGTTCCCAGCAGGGGCCCCAAGGCACAGAATCAGTGGGGAAGAAAGGGAAATGTCCAGAAGGGTGGGGTTGGAAATATACCCAGAGGACAGCTAGTCACCTGATACAGGACCCAGTTCCGCTGATGACTCCTCTTGGCCTCCCTTCACCTGGTCTCTCAGCTCTGGTGCCTGGGGCTCCCCATCACCATTCCCTGAGAAGTTCCACATGCTTACTACCATCCAGGGGGAATAAGTGAGCCAGCCACACCATCAACCCCATGCTGAGGTCTGAACTATGAATTCAGTTGGGTCATACCTTAACTAGATGATGCTCCCCTGCGCTGTCATAATAAAGCATTCCTGGAAATATGACCAGAAGCAGTTTCTGAAATTTACCAATGTGTCAAAGGCAACACTAGGACTGTGAATGGGATGCCCTCGCAGCTCAAAACCTAAGTGCCAGTAAGCAGCTGCCCAACCTCCTGCAGACTCAGGGCAGTCAGCACAACAGTTGCTTGATACCCACATCTTGAGTGAACCAAGGAGGGTCCTGGTACATTCCTTGGAACCTGGTAGAAGCCTGGAAAAATCCCTCTCCCTGCAAATTAGGGATTAGTGTGCAAACTAACAAAAGAGTTACGCAATGCCAAGTTTATACTAACTCCATTTGAAACAAATGAAAAATTGGCAGTGTTTTTGATGGTTATGCTGGGACACAAAGCTCCAAGACATCACAATGAATGGTCAACTGCTTAACCTCTGGGAACCTCCATGTCCCCCATCTGCAAAAGGAGAGAAGCCATTTTCAGGGATATTGGAAGAATGCAGAAGAGTGCACAGCTCCAGAGCTGTGACAGGCACAAAGTTCTGGAAGAATAAGAGTTGCATAGATCATTATGTTTGACTTTCTGCACCAGATCCACATTCAGGTTCCCAATTTGAGCATTATTATTTGTGTTACCCCATCCCTAGGTGGTGGAGATGGTTTGCAATTGTTGTTGTTAAGTGCCTTTGAGTCTGTTCTGACTCAAAGCAACCCTGTATAAGGCTTCCAAGGAGTGGCTGATGAATTTGAACTGCTGACATGGTGGTTCAAAGAGACCTTGTGGTTCAGTGGCAGAGACAGTTTGCAATTGGCTAATGTAAATTGGGACTTCTGGTATGGTGCTGTAGGATCAGCACTGAACTGCTAACCACAAAGATGGTGGTTCAGATCTACCAACCACTCCTTGGAAACCCTATACAGGATCTCTATGAGTCAAAATGGACTCAATGGCACTTACAATAACTAAAACCTAAATTGGGGAGCATCGTGGCTCTATAGGATAAGGACTGCACTATGACCCACAAGGTCAGCAGTTTGAGACCACCAGTCGCTTCCCAGGAGAAAGATGAGGCTTTCTGCTCCTACAAAAATCTATAGCCTGGGAAAACCTATTCTGTGAGTCAGAACCTACTCAATAGTACACAGCAACAACCACCACCACCGAAATATAGGTTGGTCATGTGAACCCATGCAGCAGCAACACAGAAAAAAGGGCTGGCTATCTGCTTCTGTAAAGATTACAGCTAAGACGAGGGGAACAGCTCTACTCTGTAAGGCAGAAAGTTGCCATGAGTTGGAATTGACTTGACAGCAGTGTGTTTCTTGTGTTGAGAGCAGGGGGGCAGTAGTGGCTCGGTGGTAGAATTCTGGCCTTCCATGCAGAAGACCCAAGTTCAATTCCCAGCCAATGCATCTCATGCACAGCCACCACTCTGTCAGTGTGATGCTGAACAGGTTTCAACCGATCTTCCAAACTAAGACAAGGAAGAAAAATGTCTGATGATCTACCTCTAAACGCCAATGAATGTGGCTCATAATGTTCTGATCTTCAGTCAGTCATGGGGATGGTGCAGGACCTGAAGTATGCACAAAGGGTCGCCATGAGTGGGGGGCCATTTTGACAGCCACTGACAAACTCTGTGTGATCAGAGTATCTTAATTCTTTTTCAAATGCACAAGTGAGCTCTGGTAGCGTGATGGTTATGAATCGGGCTGCGAACCACAAGGTCAGCAGTTCGAAACTACCAGCTACTCTGCAGGAGAAAGATAAGGCTTTCTGCTCCAGTAAAGATTTACAGCCTCGGAAACCCTGTACAGGGTTGCTATGAGTCAGAACCGACTCCACAGCACATAACAACAACAATAAAAGAGGCTTTGAATTGGAACTGACTCAACAGCACTTAATAACAGGCTAACGTATCAGTGGATGTATTCTTCATTTATACTCATAGCAACGGGGTTGGGGGGGGCAGGCATTGAATGGGGACAACTGTGAAACCTTTTCCCCTTATGCCACTTCCTTTGGAAACAAAAGGAATGGAGCATGTGGCTGTGTGCATCTCCGCTTTTCTAGAACATTCTTGGTCATAGGGATACCAGCCACTTTTGACTTCCCAGACCAGCAATTTACTTCAGCATGTTTAACAGTGGTGTTTTAGTAAATGAGTGACCAAGTAGTGTCTGCTGTGTCTACCTTTCTAAGACTTTTGTCAGTTAAACATACAATTCACAAGACTCACTGTACAGCCTTCATGTCCCCCTCTGACCCCAGTACCCCTAGTTCTCCTCAAACTCTGTTCAGCCCTGCCGCAGTCCTGGCTCCGCATTCCTTAAGCACAGAGCAGGAAACAGCTCCTACAAGTGACACCCTCACAGAAGGATTGGTCTAAAAGTTTTGCTTTGCCTGGAGCAGGTCTCAGGGACAGAAGTAGGGCTGGGAAGTCCTGCAGAGCCACATTTGCTTCTGGGCATCAGGAAGGAAGGACAGGGAATGAAAAGGAAGTGAAAGAAGATCAGAGGTCACTAGGGAAATGAAAAGCTTCTGAATCAATGTGTTTGACCTTGAAGACAGAGGAGTTACACCTGGAAGCTCATCTCTGAAGGCCGGGGAAAGGATGCCAGAGGTGGCTGGGGAAACAAAGCTAGTATACATCCATGGATTGGGGGTGTGGGCTTCAGAATATCAGCACTGCCAGGGAGTCCACCACCTCAGCCTGACAGAACAGCCTCCAAAAATTCCAAGGCAAATCTGACAGCATGGCCAAGGTAGCTGAACCCTGCTGACAGTGCAGGTCAGTCCTACAGCCATCCGAGCACTGTCCTCCCACATTGGAAGCTCCCTTCAACCTCCATCCACTCCCTCTACTCCCTGGAGTTGTGCCGAAGGACCCCTAGTGGTTCCAGAAGTCCCTCCAGCCCCTCACCTGAGAGGGGGTCAGGTCCTGGGCCCCCATCCTGGAGGCACCTCAGTTCCAGCACAAAGGTGTCGGTGGTCGCCGGTCCAAGCTCCATCCTGGCCGTCAGACCGGGATCCCGGGGAGCCGGCTGTGCTGAGAGGAAGGAAGGAAACTGTTTAGATGGAGTGGGAGTGGCATCCGCCACTGCCTCAGCCCCAGACCCATCCGAGAGTGGACAGCTCCTTGGCTGCAGAAGCTGGACAGCGCTGTCTGCACGGGGAGGGAGGGATGCGGCTTTCCTGCTCAGGAGTCCTTCCTCACAGACTTCTGTAAGCTCGCTATGCAACTCTGAGCAAGAGGGAGGATGCCAGAGGCCGCCAGGGCCACAGTTCCTCCCTAAGAGGAACTGCAGTCACAGAAAGATAAATTGGAGCTCATTCATGACTGGGTCTTCCTCCCTAGCAAAGGATGTGGACAGTGCTGGGCACCTCCCTGGCCTTCTGCTTTCCACATTGTTCTGGGGGCTCATCCAGCTACCAAGACCATTGGTTCCTGGCCATTTATATCCATCCAGAAGCTACCCCAGCTCCTTGGGGATCCAGGGAGTTCCAGAGACTCCAATGGGGTGAACCAGCCAATTAGGGGCTGGTGGGTTCTGGGCCTGGTCTCTCCTTTCCTGTTCTCCTGCAGACCTGTGTCCACCGTGGTCCCTCAGAGCTGTCCCCACGGCCAGTTATTCCCTCTCCCCACGACCCCTCTGACCTTTCAGAGGCCAGCCCTAAAATCCAGGTCTCCCGTGCTGCCTTCCCTGGGGCCTCACCTGGTACCGCATGTCTAGCTCCTCACAGCAGACTGCGCTCTGAAAATGGGGGTCTGCTGGGCTAGAAGGTGAAGGCCAAGGTGCTCAGCCGGCCCCTGCTTGAGGGGTTCCCGCCTGAGGGACCGCCATCCCGAAGGGCCCAGGAGGCACAGACCAGCCTGGGCCTTGCTGGGCACTACGCAAGGGTGCGCACCGCAAGGCTGCTGGGGTCTCCCGGACCACGAGGGGCGGATGCAGTTGAAGATGGAGCGGGTCCCGAGGAAGTTGCTGGAGACTCAGGAGGGTGGGAGGGAAAGGGAGGGTGGTGGCCGAGCCAGGTCCGGCTGTGGTGCGGGGCGCGGGCTCAGCGGGTCCCGGGCCGC